CTGTTCCACTTATGATTCAGCTCCTTGTAACACATCTGGGAAAGCAGCAAAAGTTGGCCCAGGTCCTTGGGACACTGCACTCAGGTGGAAGAGCCAGAGGAAGCTCCTGGTTTCTGGCTTCAGACCAGCTCAGTCCTGGCCACTGCAGTCATTTAGGGAGTAACCCAGCAGATAAAAATTTCCTTGTCTCTCTCGCTGTATTGTGCCTCTCAAATAAATAAAATAAACCTAGAAAAAAAAGTAATTGGAGCCATTAAACAATTTTGAGATGTGAAGTGGATTCACTTCTGTTCTGGAAAAATCTCTTAAAACAAGAGTTGGTAGATTATGGCTTTGTGCTACATAGATCTTGTGATACTATCTATAAGTCACTCAAGAAATTATTTGTACTCTTAGTCTTTATCCAGGATAATCCAATCGAAAGAGGATGAATTCCTGAAGCAAGCAGGGCTAGGTTTGAATATCATTCAGCCACCATCTGGCTGAGTAGCTGGGGTCTCGTGTTGCTCTCTGGTGAAGACAGTGATTGTAGGCTCACGGGCTTTGCTAAGAAGACAGTGGGAGGACAGTCTTTATTGTCCTCCCACTACTGTCAGATACAGCCAAGTCCAAATGGTATTTTCGAGCCTAGAAGGAAAACCAGCTAGCATCCTATTAAATCACCGCTTTGATAGACACACTGTTGCATTTAATCCTCTAGCTTAACCAGAGCATTGCATTGGTGATGTGTGAACTGACATTCATACTTTGCAAATAAGGAAGCAGAGGTAAACTGAGGTCAACGCCAAATCTTGGATCTGAATCAAACTGCCAGAAAACAATATTGTAGAGCATTAAACTGGGTTTCAAAGACCAGTGTTATGAAGTGAGAGCTCCAATCATCCTAGCAACCTTTTAACCAAACACTGGTGCGGATTTGCTGGCATGTATAACACTGAGAACATCTGGCCTTCCCATTATCCTCTCACAAGAAAAAAAAAAATGATGTGTAAACTGATCTTTAGGCCAATTATATGGTCTAAGTGCTATGGTGTTTGTGTTGGCGCCTCTGGCTCCAGGTTGTAAGGACTTCATTTGGAGCCACACCCCTCTTATTGAGACCGCCCATCTTACTGTAAATTATACCAGGGATGTGCTTCTGCTGAATCTGAACCTTTGTTCAGAAAGATAAATATGTATAAGTGCGTCCTCAACCCGCTGCATGTGCACAGCACTGTGGGAGGTCCACTAAGAAGTAAGCTTCTCTTCTGTGGCATCAGGAGGAGAAAGGAACACAAAGGGCAGACCCTGGAGAAGGCTTTGGTCACAGCCAATGCTCTGCTCTTGTTATTGTGCTTGTTTAAAGATGTATTTATTTATTCTAAAGACAGAGTTACAGAGCAAAAGAGAGACAGAGAAAGATCTGCCTACTGGTTCATTCCCCAAATGGCCACAATGGCTGGAGTAGGGCCAGGTCAAAACCAGGTGTCTGGAACTCTGTTTGGGACTCCCACATTGAGGCAGGGTCCCAATCATTTGGGCCATCTTCCATTGCTTTCCCAGGCTCCCTAGCTGGATCAAAGTGCAACAGCTGGGACTCAAATGGGCACCAATATAAGCTGGTGCCACACGTCAGCCTAACTGCACCACAATGCTGTTTTTTCCTTACTGACCAATCTTACTACAGAAACCAGGTATGGAGCACAGATTCTCCAGTCTGCTGTTAACTCTGAGGGTGCTCAGTTAGGACTAGCGACACCTGATATCATGATGCCCAGTTGAACTTTCACCAGAAACAAGGTCATTCTCGCTCTAAGGATCTGTGTCCCCACATTCAGAGGCAACGTTGGACTCTACTGCATCTGCCAGGCAACATGAGCCATGCCGTATTTCATACTTTTACCAGAAATGGTCGACTGAATGCCAGGATGCCTGTGAAAGACAGGTGGTGATGATCCCCATCCCACAACACACTGGTGTGCCATCCTGGGGGCTGTGAGCTGGTCCCTTCCTCTCTGGGCTGCTTAGTAGAGATCTCTGAGCTCAGCCTAAAGTAACAGAGACCATGGTGAGCCACAACCCAGTATTCTGGTGCTGTAAACTTGTGGCTGGACACTGAGGATGCCATTGGCCACAGAAAGTGGGGCTTCTGGGACAGGCATGGTAGCCTAGTGGCTAAAGTCCTCACCTTACATGTGCCAGGATCCCATATAGGCACTGGTTCATATCCTGGCTGCTCCACTTCCCATCCAGCTCCCTGTTTGTGGCATGGGAAAACAGTAGAGGATCGCCCAAATCCTTAGGACCCTGCACCCACATGGGAGACCCTGAAGAGGCTTCTGGCTTCTGGCTTTGGATCAGCTCAGCCCCAGCCATTGTGACCACTTGGGGAGTGAACCAGCAGGTGGAAAATCATTCTCTCCAACCTTCTCTCTGTAAATCTGACTTTCCAATAAAAATAAATAAATCTTTAAAAAGCAAAAAGAAAAGTCAAGCTTCCTGCTTTTCCCCAAGCCCCCAGACTCCATTGCCTTCCTTCATTTCATCTTCAGCTGACAAGTGTGAGAGGTCATCTTTTATTTCACGGATTCTGTGAGACCTGTTTGGAAACAATCAAGAATCCTGCTATGGGTTTTAAATGGAGTCATGGGTAGAAAAAGGCTGAGAAATTCTGATTTTTGTCTATGGATAAGACAGCCTCTGAGAATGATAGTAGAGTCACAGTTGCGTGAAAGAAGCAAATGGGCTTCTGGATTAAACAGTCTCCTCTCTTGCCGCCCTCCCCCCGCCCTACTCCTTTTCACTTCTCCCACCCCTCGCCCAGTGGCAAGCTTAAAAGGAGAGCTGAATGAAGCTGGATGGAGACCCAAACCCAAGCACCAGCAGCTCTTTCCCAGGCTCCTAACTTCCATTCTTCTTTAAAGGAAATTCTTATCTTGAGTCTCTCAGTCTGACTTAGCCTGTCTAGGAATGAAGGGCAGAATAGGTGGTACAGTAAATCCTGACTCTGTGTTGTCATTACAGGAATTCATCACAGATGGTAATCATCAGGCCCTCACATCTTGAAGGAAAGAGCTTTATCCAGAGCCATAAATAAACTATAGCCATAGCTTAGATTTATAAAGCTATAAAAGAGGGTTGCTTGGACAACCAGGAATTCACAGTACTGAGTTGCAAAATCAACAGAACACCTAAACACTTGAATATGAGTTGAGTGTTCTATCCAAGCAGCAAGAGACCACGGTGACATTTCTGTAGAGAGTTGGATCTCAGAGTAAGGTTAAGTCCTGGTCAAATCTTCCAAAATGCAAACTCGGAGAACCTAATGCTCTTCTAGCTCAATGTGGCATTGTAATCCTTAAACTAACTGCAGGTCGGTCAAGCTTGGCCTTTCCTCATCCAGATTCTCTCTAATGCCTTTATCTTTGCAAATGAATTTTCAGTTCATTGTTAATGTTGCCCAAATCCCTATTATTCCCAAGTGGCTTCAAATAATTTCGTCGTGTGTGACCCAGAGTCTCATATGTGCAGAGCATCCCCATGAGGCTCTGAGTTATGGGGCAGCAAGGCACGAAACAAGGCCATACCCTTCCAGAAGTTGGTCATCTGATTGGGGAGACAAGTCACTGATAGCTAGAAAGTTGCAGTATGCAGGCTGCAATGTGCTGTGCAACCTGTAATTAGAAATGAACTCCAGGCCGCAAAGGATGAGTACAGGTTGCAGGTGTTGTTCTTGACCCAGAGCTAACTAGCCTTTAAATTCCAAACTCTCAACCTCTCCCCACTTCATGTTATTCCCAAGTGGCCTGGAAAGGAAAAGTCTGGGCTCTCTAGATGGGTCTGACCCAGGATGAGCATGTTTCCTGGATCAAGAGGTCAGGAACTGTCCCACGCTGCAGCCTAGGCCATGTAGCTCCCAATCCTAGTGTTGGGTTTAAAAATGAGCTTGAGGACAGAGGGAAATGGCAGCCTCAGGGAGGAGGGATTTTGCAGACATTGCGAATACACAATTGAGAGCAGTAAGGTGTTTGTTCCTGGGCCTAGGGGAGCCAGGAACCCACAAAGTTGACACTCACTGGGGTGGAGGCCATGCACATGGCCATAGCTTGCCTAAGTAAGGCTGAGGTGTCTCATGGGAAAAGTAAGAGATGTTCGCAACCAGGAAGGCAGGCATGCACGGTGGGAAAATGCCAGAACTGCCTTCCCTTCCAATGCAGCTGGGCCTGTTGAAGGCACAAAGGGTATGCCTGCGATGCCGGTAATCACAGTGCCATGCAACAGGTGAGATGAGGCTGCCTGGAGCTGGACTTGGACTCTACACCTTGAAGAACCTGCTGTGAGGGCCCAGCTGTCAGCTCTGCCTTGACCAATCTGAGTCCCCAGCAATGGTGGGAGAAGAATTCAGGGTAGTGGACAATTCAGTGGTATAATATTCCCAGGTTGTATTTCTCAGTGACCTATGGGTACCCAGACAGGCTCAGCAGCATCTGGGAGAAGAGGGACTCCCACATCAGAACAAGGGCGAGTCAAACTGTCTGTGAAAGAGCCAGGGAAAGACAAGGTCAGGAAGCAGAACGTGTAGCCCTGGGTATCTGTGTCTCTTCCGCACCAGCTAACTCCTTAATTCACTGCCCAGTACCAATAACTCAGGGGGGGTGGGGCAATTTCATGCACAGAGCCACACTGTGAGACAATTCTGGTGATCAACTCACTCTGCACCCTTGCATTACAGTAGAAAAGCTTCTGACCTTCACCTTGGGCTGCCTCCAGGAGTGCCTCTGATGCATTCCTTGTGTTTGTGAGACTTGGGGATACCTCCTCAGACAGCAGAAAGGAAAGCAGAGGACTCTGTGGGGCTCTGGGGCTCTGCAGCCCTAGGAGAGGGCTTTAGCCTTTCTGAGCTTCAATTTCTTCATCCCCATGATGGTTGTAAGCCGCAGCTCCCTCCACACTCCCCTCTGCCCACAGGCCTGCTGTGGTGGCCATGCCCAGCTCACGTTTGCCTCTCTGTTCTCTTCCAGGGGCGCTGCATCAACTTCACCCGAATCAAGAACAACCAGCCAGTCAAGTACCCCCTCAACAACGCCTACCACAACACCTCACCACCTCCTGCCCCTATCTACACTCCCCCACCCCCTGCTCCTCACTGTCCTCCCCCACCTCCCAGTGCCCCGACCCCTCCCATCCCATCCCCACCTTCTAACCTTCCACCTCCTCCCCAGGCTCCACCTCCCAACAGGGCCCCACCCCCTTCCCGCCCCCCTCCGAGACCTTCTGTCTAAACCCAAGCCCTGGGCTCTAGGCTCTCTCAGAAACTTCGGGGAGGAGGGGCCTTGGTGGCCTTAGAACAGTCTTTCCAGGTAAAGGTGAAGAGTGGTGACAAAGCCCACTGAATTCACACACTTTTTAAATCGGTTGGCAATGCCAGTACACCAACAATGGTGATCAGCGGAAAGCAACGAAATTTTGAATCGCCTGAGAGCAAATGATGAGGCAAATACAGTCACATTTATAGCCAGTCAGCCATCACCTCTAGAAGGTTCCAGAGACCATGAAACTGCCAAATGCTCCAGAAGGGATTGTGTCTCACAGAGACCTGGAAACAAAAACCTTTTTCAGAGGGGGAAATGAGGAGTTGGGTAAGAAATAGCACTGCTGAGTTTCTAAACGCAGCCTTGCTTCCTCTGCTCCATCTCCTTCACCAAGGAATCCTCGCACCATCCCACCCCCCTCCAACCTCGTGCCACCCTGGAAGGTGGAAACCTGGGCCTTCAACTTTGGGAAAGCTTGAGGAGTCTAGTGTGGCAAGAAACTCAGCATCACATGGGAACCCAGGAGGGTGGGCTCCTGTGATCTGCAGATACGTTAACTCACACGCCGTATTGTGCTTCTGCTCTCTCCCCGTTTCCACACCAGGAAGGGAGCAGGTGTTTACAGATGGAAAAGGTATGTTGCTATGTTGATGTGCAAGTGCAAGCTGTTGTGTGCCTTGACAGGAGAGTGTTGATGGGAGCATCAGACAGTTCCTCAAACCCACAGGCCAGCAGGAGCTAGAGCTAGAGGTTGTCAGCTCTGGCCAGACATGGTCCCCCAAATCAATGGACAGTGGCATTTGTTAAAGCACAACTTGTTCATGATTTATGTTTAAAAACCAAGGTTTGTTTTCTGGAGACAAACTTGAGTTGATCATTAGTTCACATGGTACCACTGATTTTTTTTTTTTTCCTTCTTGATGAAGTTGTGCACCAACAACTTCTAAATAGCATTGAGATACAACATAATAATCCAAGTATCCCCAGGTTCTTTAATTAACCTCAAAAGAAGCATTTGTGTGGATGCAACTGTATTTCTCCTTTGCTTTCCAACTTGCAGATAGCATTAGCTGTTATCTCAAGGGAGATATCACAATATGCACAACACAGAAATGCTCTGAAATCCCTACCTTGCTAGGACCCCACCCATTTCTTCAAGTGTCCCTGTGAGTCTATTGAGTTAATAAGCCCTGTGATCACTCACTAAACATTGAGCTTCATCACCAGATGTCCTTGTCCAGGGCTCCTACACCAACTTGTTCAAAAGCATCTGCCCTCCAGTATTTCACGGGTCTTAAAGCTCTTGTCCCAACCCTCTCACATTCTAAGTCTTGTGGGAACAAAATAGGATATAAAGGCCAAACTTAGTGCTTTGGCCTATGGCCTCCAAAGATCCCTCTGAACTACATCAAACCATCTCATTCATGGGATATGAGTGTCTGGGGTGCATGCCCACAGCAGACACAGCAATCTGTCACAGCACTAATTCTTCTAGATCCTTATCAGCTCACGACTGCCTATCCATTGCAGCTGAGAGAGATGGGTCCTATTTTCCATCCCTACCATACAAAACAAAAGTAAACCATTGGCAAGGGGCAGTGGGGAAGCTCAAGGTCATAAAGCAACACTTCCCCATCTATACATTATGCCCTCCCCTCTCACAGCCTCTTCAAAGAATCCCCTGGCTTTCCAATAGCACAAAAATTGGAGATGGTTTCCAGGACTTAGGAAAGCAACTTGCTCCCCTTCATCCAGCCCTATTGCATTGTCTATTTTTAGAGCACTAGGCTGCATCTTTAGTGTAACCCCCTTGTGGAGCAGGGGCAAGAGTGTCTCACCCACAGCTGGGGACATTACTGGGCCCCAGAAAACCATTCCATAGGAGAATGAGTTCCCCAGGCTCACAGTGTAGAGATGTTGAGCCCATGGCCACTGTTTTGACTGCTGGCAGTCCAAAACAGTCCTCCCCGTGCCACAGCTGGCCACATGACTGGGCAGCCCACAGAACACCCAAGCCGAGACCCTGACATGGCTCTGCACCCAGGTGGGTGAGCAGCGTGCAACAGTCCCAGACTCAACAGCACTGTGCAGTTTCCAAGATTCTGTGCTGGCCATGTGTTTTGATTAACTAGGGAACTGCAGCTATTCAGGAATGATGATTTTTGAAAGGGTTAGCAGAGTCTGTCCTTAAAACTGACTCTTTATGTCACCCCTAGTCACGCAGAGCCCTAAAAAGGAGAAGCTTCTCCACATTGGACGAGCATGGCCATGTTTTTAGAGCAGGCTAATGACAGGCAGGAAAATTCTCTGGCTGGTTCACAAAATCCATCCAGTGTTTGTGTCATTCCCTGTAAAAGGCAGGAAATATATGATTGTGACCAGAAAACTGCACAAAGTTCAATTTTCAACCCCTGTGTTATTGTCCTTACAAAGTTTTTTTTAAATAAAAGTCAACTTTTCGTTGTATATATTCGTATTCCATGTGTTAGATGGAAACATTTCTTATCCAGTGTGAATAAAAAGAACAGTTGTAGTAAATTATTATAAAGCCAATGATATTTCATGGCAGGTTATTCTACCAAGCTGTGCTTGTTGGTCCTTTCCATGACTGTATTGCTTTTCTAAATGTACAAATAGTTACTGAGACGACGAGACCCTTGTTTGCACAGCATTAACAAGAACTTTGATCAGCATGGAGGCATTCCCCTCTCTTGACAGCCAGTTCACAGCTTCTTGCCTGGAGCTGGGTACTCACTCCTGCAAAGATACATGGTCTCTCCTTTGCCAAGGTCAAGAACAGACCTGGTGCATATGGTCACTCACAGTCTTGGATACCTGGCCATGGGGGGTATCATGCTAATACTGATATTTCATCATGATAATATGTTATGTCTGGTGTCATATGCACTACAACCAAATACTGTGTCAGAAGGGGAAAAGTAAATCATGAAGGAACTGGAGAAATTCACAAGAGAATGAGCAACAGCTTCAGCCCAGTATCAACTCATTTAAAAAATAAAGTAATGCTGTGTAAAATGGGTTGAATTAATTCGTGAACTATGTAAAGATATACGCCATGAAAAGCCTGTTAATACACAACGATGGGAATGGAATATTCTAGTCAATTGCCTTTTCTACTTATCTGAGCTCTACTATATTATCATACTTGGGTAACGAATTTTTAAAAAATTAGAATACAATTTTTGAATACACTTAACGTGAAACTCTTCCTTTAACTCTTTTCTTCTGTCTGGAAAAAATCCGTGATAGTCACGGCTCTCTGGTGTCTCTGAATGGTTGCCCTGAGGGAAGAGTTGTCACTGTGTCATGCTGTAGGAGACTAGGCTGAATCTGTACAGTGGAAAACCCTGGAAGTTGGTTTTTTTAAAAAAATAATAATAATAATAAATTTCTAAAATCAACTATTTTGCTGGTCATGTGTGTGTTTGTCAAAAAATTAAAAATATACACTATTCACATATTTAACATCCTGGCCCTAGACCCTGGCTCTTGCTTGTTCTGTGCATTAAATTGTATGACTCAGATTATCCCGTGTCCTCCACTAATCTCTTAACTGCCTTGATTACTGCCACGTCTCCCTTAGCTGTCTGACATCCAAACCATTCTTTGTTTCTAGTAACAGTTTTCAACTCTGAAAAAAGTGATTAGGGACTAATGACAAAGAACAGAGCAAGTGAGGCCAGAGAGACCCAGGACGCCATCCTTATCACTTAGGCCTGTTTGGCTGCCTCAACAGAAAGGTCACTTTGACTAACTGAATTCACAGCACAGTCCAGAGGTTGGAGTCAACTGCAGATTCCAGCAACGTGGCAGCTGGAGCTGCGATGACGCTTCTGCTGTCTACATGCCTCGCAAAAGCTTTACTCCTCCCAGCTGCTTCGGCTCAGCTCCCCTGATGCGCAGGTGGAGAAGCACCTCTGAGTCCCCAAATGAATGTCTTTACAAAGCCTCATTAAACATTGAATTCATCTGAATTGAAATAAAATTGTCCAGAAACAAAATCACAACAGTTTGTTTTTTATTTTCTTTTGTTCTGTTTCTCTCCAAGTTCCCATTAGCATTATTTTCCACAGCTTTGGGGACATGCCCATTTTCAAATGAGGTCCTTAAATGATTTTAAGATAAGCAGCTAGCAATTTGAAAGAAAGAAAAGCTGGAGCCCTCTCTCATTCCTTACACTGAAATTCATTCCAACTGTATTGAGTTTCACTGTAACAAACAAAACCTGGAAAACACTAGCTATGGGGAAAATACTTTCTGTCTGATATAGAGAATTTTTAAGTCCTGCCAATAGCTTGAATGAGCCATCAGATTTCTCTTGAAGTCACTTCAATGGTCCTGAGTAATGCATCAATGTATTAAGTTTAAGGAACAAGATCACAAATCAGTTGTTGACTGTGCATACGAACTTGAGATCCATATTCATTCGTCCCTGAATCCCATTTTCCATCTTAAGATAAATCTGTGTTTCACAGACTGTCACTTAGATATAAAAGCTCAGAATAACATTTTGTTCATCTAAATACATTGCAAGGTCGATGTCACCATTTCTAGCCATCCATTACAAGCGGTTGGAGTTGGCCTATGCAAAACAGATGGTTTTTATTCTGACTATAATTGTATTGCAATTTTATTCTGACTATAATTGCACTATAATTGCTGGAACCATCACACCCCCATCCTGAAGGCATCATATCTAAGGAAACTAAAAGCCTTGTAATTCCACTAGATACAATCTTGAATTCCTCTATTTCTTCTTCAGTGTTCCAGTGGTCACTAAGTTATAAAAGAGTCTTCCTATCTAATAACACCTACTGGCATGGATATGGAGAGAAAAGTACTCTATTCCACTACTGGTGGGAATGTAGGCTAGTGCAGCCACTATGCGAGTCAGTACTGAGTACTACACAACTAGAAATCTGACAACTAGACAACTAGGAATCTACCAT